CAGTAGACTGTAACCTCCCTAAGGTCAGGCAACTTATCTGTCTCACTCACCCCAATATCTCCAGAGCCTACAAAAGTGCCTAGAATAGGCACTCAGTATTTGTTGAATGAATGTACCAAAGTTGTGAGGAACAGATGATAAATTTAAGCTTTAATAAGATCTTAACACTTCAGAATAATGAGTTTTATTTGATAAAATAAAAGTTAGAAATAAATGTAAACATACCAAACTTGGATCTAAAAAACCAACAGGATAGCGATTAAGATAAAAAGGTAGCAACACCTTAGTTTAAAAATCTACAGTGGCGCTATCCAACAGAAATATAATATGAGCCACATATGTAATCTTAAATATTCTAGTGGAAACATTAAAAAAGTAAAAAGAAACAGGTAAAATTAATTCTAATAATACATTTTATTTCTAAATAAATATCCAAAATATTATCATTGCAACATTCAATCAATATAAAAATATCACTGAGATATTTTACATACCTAATTTTTTACTTTGAAATTCAGCAAGTATTTACACTTACAACATGTTTCAATTTGGATTAGCCACATTTCAAAAGCTCAATAGCTACATGTAATATTATAAATGGCATTTTTATTAGGCTCTTTTGTCTTACAACTAGATTGTTGAGGCTATTGCATGTGGATTAATTATAATAACTAGTCCATAGTGAGTACATACTATATGCCAGCATTGTTGTAAATGCTTCATATGTACTAATATCTCCACTCATGATCCTTTGAAGTATTATTATCCTCACTTTACATGACAATATTGTGAGTATTAATATGATGGCAGTGTGCAGGGCAGATTAAAAGGGAAAAGACTGGCACAAGTTAGGTTACTTTTACTTATTTACTCACATCCCACTTTGACCTATGGATTAGTCTGTTTCTGTTGCTTATAACAGAATACCTGAAACTGGGTAATTATAGAGAAATGAAATTTATTTCTTACAGTTTTAAGTGCTGGGAAGTCCAAGGTCCAGGCAATGCATCTAGTGAGGGCCATCTTCTGGGTGGGAACTCTCTACAAAGTCCCATGGCGACCAGGGTGTCACATGGCAAGACTGAGCTGAGCAAGAAAAAGCTAACCCTCTCACTTGCCTTCCTTATAAATCCATAAGAATCATGCCCATTACTCCACGAATGGATCAATCCATTAACAAGGGCACAATCCTCTCAATTTAATCACCTCTTAAAGGCCACACCTTTCAAATACCATAATTGGATTTCCCACCCTCTTAGCACTATTACAATGGTGGTCAAGCTTCAGTGAGTTTTGGGGGGACATTCAATCCACAGCAACCTAGGTAATATTTCAGGTGGCTTATAAGCATACATAAAATAAGAAAATAACATGAATTAAAAGTGGGACAAAAGAAGAACAACATCTCTGCTGACATGATTTGATCTTTGGATGTTAAACTCTGGGTTTTTAATGTTACTTTATTGCAAAAACAGTATTAAAATAACAGAAATATGGTGGGGTCAGAGTGTAGTGGTGTTTACAACTAACTGATCACAATTTCTTTGTTCCTTCTCCACTCCACTTGAAAAAAGGAAAAATGACAGAAATACAAAGTAAAAAGTTTCCTGCAAACCCATGATCTAGCCAAACAATGTTTTCATTTACCTAACACAGATAATGTTTTTGGCCTCATCTGTACAAATATTCTGTTTTTACATATTTGCAGTAATTGTACAGCTAGTATTCTACCTTTTTTTTCTCAGCATTATGCCATAAATTTTTATTCCTTTTGTTAGAATCTTATTTTCTTTCTCTCCACTCCTCCAACTGTAACCAGTGTTAAAAGTCTGTTATTTATTCAACAATTCCTCTAATGATGGGCATGTAGGTTGTTTTCAGGTTTGGGGTTTTTTTCTTTGACTTTGCTTCTGTAAAAAAGCAATAAACAGGGCCGGCCCAGTGGCGCACTGCTACAGTGCGCCGCTTGGGAAGCATGGCGGCGCTCCCGCCGAGGGTTCGGATCCCACATGCAGACCGGTTCCCGCTCACTGGCTGGGCGAGGTGCAGGTGCGACACCGAGGGTTGCGATCCCGTTGCCGGTCCCGGTCCGGTACGGGCGTGACACTGAGGGTTGTGATCCGTTGCCGGACACGAAAAAAAAGACAAAAAGGAAAAAAAAAAAAAAAAAAGCAATAAACATCCCTGCACATATAAACTCTTTCTGCGCTGATTTTATTACTAAAGGATAAATTCCCAGAGTGGAATTCTTTTAGTTCTTCAAATATTTTGAGCTTTCTCGTCCTAGAACAGGCTTTTTTCTCTTTCTTGAGTGCTTTATAACAGTCTGTAATTTTATGCTTATTTATATAATTATTTAATGACTGTCTCTTCACATGAGTATAAGTTCCTTGAGGGCTGGATTCATCCTTTAGGGTTTAGCTCAGCTTAGATTTGCAGAGTTTTCCATGAAGTCCAATGCAAATTAATTTCTTCATCATATTCTTTCACAGACCTTCAACTTTTCTTTCCTAGAAACTGTCACATTTTGTAATTACATATTTATTTGTGTAATTATTTAACATTGGTCTCCACCAATAAACTATAAGATCCAGAATGGCAGGGAGCACATCTGTTTTGTTCACCATGAAATTCTTACCTCCAGAAGAGTATATGACACATGAAATATATTCAGTAAATACGTATTAAATATTGAAATAATTAGAGTATGGGGCTTAGAAAAAATCATACTGTGGAGTAAACCTTCTGTAATAGTTTTTAACAGATAGAATCTGCTTTAAGTGTTCATTAAGACATCCATGTCAAAAGAACTGGTGTTTACATCAACAAAGCCTTGCAAGGGAAAACAATCAGCTCAAAGGGATACGCTATCTCTGAAGAGCAACATGTGGTCTAAGAAGGGAATGTAGAAAGAGCCAAAAGAATTTTAAGAGACAGCCATGGAATAGTTTTACCCTAAAATGACTTGACTCATTTAGTCATCAAATAAATATTTACTGAGCACCTACCATGTGCCATACACTGTTCTTGGTGCTGGGGATATAGAAGTGAACAAAACAGACAAAAAACATCTAGTTCTCAGGGGAAACAGATAATAAGCAAATTATATAGCATATTTCAAGTTGAAAAGTGCTATAGAGAAAAAAAATAACAGAGGGAGGAGAGATGGAAAGCAGGCAGTATCAGGGAGAAGCAATCTTTAAAAAGATGGTTAGGATAAGCCTTAGTAGGAAGTTGACATTTGAGCAAAGATTTGAGGGAAGTAAAGGAGTCAGCCATGTGAATATCTTGGAAAAACACATTCTAGAGGGAGAAAGTCAGTGCAAAGACCTGAGGCAGGAACATGCCTTGTCTGTACCAGAAACAGCAAAGATATTAATGAGACTGTGGCCTCACTACCTTGATGATGTTAAGGGGAAAAATGGGAGAGTTTACATATTAATTGCCTTAGCAGACCATGCCACTTTTCTTCCACTTCACTCCAGTTGCTACACTGAGTCATGTGGACGTTCACGTAACATGCCCCTTCCTCTCTACCTCCACACAATACCCAGAATGAGCCTTTTGATTTTCCACATCAGTGTCAACTGTGGGATTTTATGCCTTCTTAAATATGCCAGAACTATACATGGGCCTATTTTTGTAGATTACCGTCAGGGTCCTGATGCCAAAAATCTAATCATATCATGAGTAATGACTGGGAAAAGGGCACACGAATCAATAGAAGCATTGGGACAATTACTTTTGCAATTCATAGCAAAAGTGCCAATATTTCCTTTCCCTCTCCAACCAATCCGCTTCCTTCACTTCTTTCAAAACCAGCTTCTAAACTATAACTAGAAAGTCACTCCTGATCACACATACTAACTAGGTGTACTCAAAGTATTTATACAAAGAAGTGAATAATATAAGAAGTTTAAATGTTTCATAAAGGGTTTTAAAAACTCTCAATAGCTCCATGGGCCGGCCCGTGGCTCACTTGGTAGAGTGCGGTGCTGATAGCACCAAGGCCACGGGTTCGGATCCTATATAGGGATGGCCGGTTGGCTCACTGGCTGAGCGTGGTGCTGACAACACCAAGCCAAGGGTTGAGATCCCCTTACCGGTCATCTTTAAAAAAAATAAAAACAAAAATAAAATAAAACTCTCGGCACAGTTCAACCCCAACAAGGTCTCAGACTGCTGGGCCATCGCAAAAAAAGTGATATCAAACATCTTTCTCAAACCACAGCTTGTCTGTCACCATGCCAGAAATAAACTTAGCTGATCTGCCCAGGCATTGATATGAAGCATTTGTCAACAAATTCACTGCGTCCTATCCCTGGACTGCCTCTCAGAGCCCCTCCACTGCATCTCCCCTGGCTCGTTCCAGAGCAGCCACATGGAAGGAAGAAGCCCAACCTGTCCCAGAGCCCAACCTGGAGAGGTGGGAGATTCCAACAAGACTGTGACTACACAGCTATACAAAGATAAGCACCTTCAGCTCCCAGCTCAAATTTGGTGACAGGGGAAGGGGAGGCAAAGCTTCCTGTGGTTAGGTTGGTTCCCTGAAACCCCACATTGTACAGCTCAGGATCATGCATGTCATTCTGGCACCTGCCACTTAGAGACCTCATTCCAAAGGGCTTTCAGGAAAAAGGAGGAAGCGCTGAAGGGAGGATGGGCTGCCAGGCGGGGATGGGCAGGAGAGAGGGAGAGAGGAAACATTGGCAGGAGGATGGGTCAAGGGCGCCAGAGGCCCAGGACATCAAAACTAAGCAGTGGCCCCTTGGTAAGCCCACTCTTAGCAACCTCCTCCTAATCAGTGGCCAGGCCAGAACCAGCCAGTGTAAGGAGTTTCTTTGGCCTAAACAATATTTCTTAAAAATAAGTTGTCCAAAGTGAGATACTTTCTACTAGGAAGGCCAGAATCAAACCTTCGCGGAGTGCGCGTGCGCAGCAGTCCCATTTCCCCGCCCCTCACGCTGCTCTTCCTTCTCAACGTAAGCCGGCGTGAGCCTCCGGGGTTGGCCACGTGTGTGCGCGCGCGAGCTAGCCCTTCTATTCACGTGACCCCTGACTCCGGGCGTTCTACCCTACGACTTTCCTACCTCGCGCTCCCAGAATCCGGCATTATGGCGGCCGCCGTGCCCCGCACTGCTTCTCTTTCCCCGCTGCTTCCTGTTCTCTTGGGCCTCCTGCTCCTCTCTGCTCCACATGGCAGCAGCGGCTTGCACACCAAGGGCGCCCTCTAATATAGTCTTATTTTGTATTAATTACACTGTACTTGTTATACTATTATTCCTATGTCTCCTTCTCCCCCAACATTGTGACTTCCTTCAGCACAGAACTCTTTCTAGTTCATCTTATTCTGTACTCCCACAGGCAAAACCGGGATGTGGCAGACACTAGGCACTAAACCTATACCTGCTGAAAAGAATTAATTTTCTTTTTTAGTCTTCCAGGAGCCTAGGACATAGCTGGGCGGCTACTCAGCTTTCAGTAAAGTCTGTTTTTACAGGAGCCTGACGCCTCACAAACGAGGCACTCAGCTCAGAGGAGGGTTGACTGGGCCCTGACTGCCATACTAACAGACGAATCTCGCTGACTAGTTCAGGTGAGTCCTGGAACAACTGACTGCCCGGCTAAGAGGAGTAACCAGAGTCTGACTGATGGTAACAGTGGGCCAGCTGCGTGAGGGTAGTAGCACTGTCTGACTGAATAAGGATATTAGCTGGACTTGACAAAACAGACTAACCAAGGGTAGTAGCAAGTCCCCACCGACTGCCTGACGAACCAAAGGCAGGAAGAAATTATTGCTGGCCTTGTCATCTTCCAAGGGGAGGAAAGGTAGCAGAGGAACTGCTGCAGAAACGCCACGCACGCGCTTCGCGCCCCTACTCACGCAGAGGAGCACGGGAACAGGGTTCGCCAGAGGCGACCCTCGCCGAGTGCGCGTGCGCGGCAGTCACTTTCCCAGCCCCTTCCTGCCCCCGCCCACGCGCCCCCCGCCCTCTCTCCCTTGCGCCTTTGCGACCTTCGCGGAGTGCGCGTGCGCAGCAGTCCCATTTCCCCGCCCCTCACGCTGCTCTTCCTTCTCAACGTAAGCCGGCGTGAGCCTCCGGGGTTGGCCACGTGTGTGCGCGCGCGAGCTAGCCCTTCTATTCACGTGACCCCTGACTCCGGGCGTTCTACCCTACGACTTTCCTACCTCGCGCTCCCAGAATCCGGCATTATGGCGGCCGCCGTGCCCCGCACTGCTTCTCTTTCCCCGCTGCTTCCTGTTCTCTTGGGCCTCCTGCTCCTCTCTGCTCCACATGGCAGCAGCGGCTTGCACACCAAGGGCGCCCTTCCCCTGGATACAGTCACTTTCTACAAGGTAACGGGGACGGGGGGACATCGCGTGCAGGTGTAGCCAGGGCGCCCGGGGGATCGCGCACCGATAGGGTACGTTGGGCAAAGAGGGCTGGCAGGAGGTGGTCTGTGGCGAAGATTCCAGAGTTTCCCACCATCCTATATAGGCCTGATGAACACTGGGCCGGGGGCGTATCATGACCACCGGGCATACACGCTCCAAGGTCCCGACCCACCCTTGCCTTTGCAGTTTTTATGCTTGTTTCCTCTTTTGCAAAAGAGCTGTAAAGATGCATCCCAGGGAACTGGATTCCTCCCTTTCACCTCTGGGTAGAGGGCGGTGCCAGACGAGATCCAATCCTCAAGTCCCAAGTGGGAGACCCGGAGGACGGTTCTAAGTCGACGCCACCGGCTCCCGATTGTGGGAAGGGGGCGTGGGCTGGCGGGGAGAACTCAGCGCGTTAGCATGCATTAGTACGCCCTTCTCCCCGGAGGATGGATTTTCAGCCTGCTTGGCAGTATGCAAACAATGTTCGCATATCATGGATCTCCTCGAAAAGTGCAAGCGTTAAGAATGAACTTCATTCAGCCACCCTACGGGAAACATCTTGGGTCTGGGAACAAAATGAATAAAATTAACCACTACCCTCTTCCTACCCCCGTCACCCCCGCCGTCTTTACAGAATTTAGGATCCTGGCTTGGATAAACGGACGGTTGGAAATGTTGAATGCTGAATGCAACACCATTCCCTTCTCTTGCAACTGTCGTCACCTACTAGCAGCTTTTAACTTTCTCTAGGGCAAACTAAGTGTTGAGAGAGAGCCAGTCGTTTTATTTTCTTATTTTGTACCCATTTCGGGGAAGTGAAACCAAAAAGTGGAGCTCTAAATGTGTCTCAAGTGATTGAAGTCTTCCTATTTTCAAAAGCGTTCCTGTGATGGACTTGGCATTTGTAGCTCACTCAAGGCAATTTAAAGAATTTAAAAGCGTAGGTATGGCTGGTTGGTTGTCAAGCACACCCCACAGCTCTCTGTTTTTTGGGCCTTTATTTGCAAAGTGACACTCCTGCACTCTGCTCCATGGGAATCAGGTAACTTAACAGACCAAGTGTAAATCAAAGGGAAACTTTGCACCGTAAAGTTAACAGTATTTCCTAATCAGTTGGTGCCTCTCCATCTTTACTACCACCGTGGTTTGGGCTGTCATTACAATAGCTTCCTTACTGGTCTCCTTGCTTTCACTCTTGAGCCTCCACACAGTAGCCTAAGTCCTACATGATCTGACCCTTGCTTCCCTCTCCTCTCATCCTTGTCTCTTCTGCTCCAGCCACTCAGGCCTTCCTTCTGTTCTTTGAATATTCCTAGCTCGTTACTGCCTTAGGGTGTTTGCACTAGATGTTCCTTGTGACTGAAACATTCTTTGCTCCGTCTTTGAAAGGCTGGATACTTCTCATCAGTTCAGGCTTAGTTAGGTTAAAGGTTACTTCCTCAGAGTCCTTCCTTGATTTTTACCACTCCCTTTCTAAAGTGCTAGTCACATTACCCTGTTTTATTTCTCTGTAGAACACTAATTGCTGATTTTTTTCCTTCGTGTATTTTATCATCTGTCTTTCACACTAGAATATTACATGCTTGTGATGAAGTACCATGTTTATTTTGTTCCTGATCATTTGTACAGCATAGCACGTTACCTGGTACATAGAAGATACTCAATAAATAATTGGTTACATGAATGAACAAATGTTTTCTCCAGTCTCTCTCCAAATCTCACCCTCTTCCATCACCACTGAACAAAAGGGGAGTTGCCTGGTGTTTTGTCCAGCAGCTTTGTTTTGTGCTTTGCTTTCCAGTGATTTCCAACATCTTTTTTTGTTTCTTGCCCTTCATCATCACTAGAATGTTAGCTCCATGCAGAAAGAGACCCTGTTTGGTTCACTGCTGTGTTCACTTAGAACAGTGTCTGGTACCCTTAGTAACTTTTTACTCAATGAACAAATGCATGGATAATGAATTTTATTTCTACTTTGATGAAGCGAGTTGCCTGATTATTAAGTAATGGTAGAGCTCATTCCTCAAGGATGAGGAAAGGAGAGAGATTTCTAAAGCAATTAAATACAGACTGAGTAAAATAAGAAAAAAATTCCTTATGCAAATGTTTGCCATTTAGAATCATTCTGCCTTACCCTGGTAGCTAAGAATGGTGAAAGTAAAATATGGAGGTCTCTCAATTCTATTTCAGTGTTAGACCACTGTGTGATTATTTTTGTTTCATAATGCAAGTGTAAGCCCTTTGAAGGTGTGCTTTGAAAACATCCTTTCTCCTGGACATGTAGCATCTGCTGCTACAGCCTGATAGAGTGCTGTTCATTCATCAAATATTTTCAGAGAATCTGCCACATGCCGGGCACTGGTGGGCACTTGGGCTACAGCAGAAAACAGGTCAAACAAAGTCCATATTCTCATAAATGTACATTCTAATGGACAGGACAGAAAATAATCGAGTAAGGATTTCAGAGAGTGATTAATGCAGTGAAGAAAATACAGCAGGGTAATGTGATAGAGTATGATGGAAACGAAGCAATATTGGGTAGTCTATTTGGAGAAGGCCTCTGTATTAGGAGAGGGGACATGTGAACCAAGCCTTGAATGATAGAATGACAACCAAGGAAAGAAGTGGGAAAGGGCATTCCAGCCAGCAGAGCGAAATGAAAAGGCCCTGAGTGGGAATGAGTTTATAGTGTGTTGAACTGAAATAAGGCCAGTTGGGCCAGAGGAATGTGATCTGATTTATATTTTAAGTCTTCCCTGCTCTTAGGCTCCCAGAGCTTAGTCTTTTTGGCACCAGTGACGACCTAAAGATGATCTATTCTGGCGGCTTCTCCTTCCTTTGTGTTCCTAGGCAGTGTTAAATATTTTTAAAAACCTAAAGCCAAATGGACATCAATAAATAGTAAAGGACAAGTACTAACAAAAACACTAAGTTTCTTTGCCTTAGCTGGAATTATGTGAGCTTGACATAGTTATTGACAGTGATTGCCTGTGATAAAAACTGATGGTAGTGATCACTTGAATTAGAAAAAGAAAAAAAGTTGTAGGATAAGGGGAAGGCCATTCTACTGACCACAGGAACCTTGTTAGATAAAATTTGTGCATTGGAAGAAACCATCAAGGAAGTCCTTGGGTTCTTCAATAAGTTAAACATAAACTTACCATATGATCCCCATAGTTCCATCCTAGGTATATACCCAAGAGAATTGAATACAGATGTTCAAACAAAATAGCAGCACTACTCACAATAGCCAAAAGATGGAAACAACCCAAATGTCCATCAGCTGATAAATGGATAAACAAAATGTGGTCTGTCCATACAGTGGAATATTTATTTAACCATAAAAAGGAATGAAATACTGATATGTGCTACAACATGGACAAACTTTGAAAACGTTATGCTAAGTGAAAAAAGGCAGGCACAAAAGGACAAATATTTTATGATTCCATCAGTATAGACAAATCCATAGAGACAGAAAGTAGATTAGTGGTTGCTGGGGCTGGGAGGAGGAGGACTGGGGAGTGACTGCTTAATGGCTATGGGGTTTCTTTTGGGAGTGATGAGAATGTTCTGGAACTGGACAGTAGTGATGGTTTGCACATTGTTAATGCACTAAATCCCATTGAATTTCGTACCTTAAGATGGTTATATGTTGAATTTTATTTGAATTTTACTGCGATTAAAAAGACTTAACCCTGATAGTTTAGGACCCAGAGATCTAGCCGTAGGGAACTGTGGTTTATGGATAGGACATTGTCGCCCCCTCACCTCTCACCAACTTCCTGTTTGCCCTGAAATTGTTGAGTTCAAACTCTGGCATCTCTAGCCAAAGCATCCTCCATGGTGCCTACTCCTTTGTAGAAAGTTTTTTTTCAGATCTCTGATTCGAGTTTACTGAGAAAGTCCTCCTGGGATGATGGGCATTACAGGGGCCGATGCTTAGCCTCATTGAAAGGAACACTATTGAAGGCCTGAATACATCTACAGCTTTGTTTATCCTAGACAGGGTTGCATATATCTTTGATTAGTGTGAACAGACACCTGATGGGGTCCCCAGCACATAGCAGGCACTCAATAAATTGTTAAATGAATCAGTGGGTGAATGAATGAATATTAGTTTGTGAGCGCTTGTCTCCCTGTGGGCTTGTTTCCACTCTGTTTCTTAAACAGGGGCCCCTTGGGAAGGGGAATTAGCCCCAAAGGTCTCTGGAACACCCCACTTGCTCAGCTCTACACCCTCAGGTCATTCCCAAAAGCAAGTTCGTCTTGGTGAAGTTCGACACCCAGTACCCCTACGGTGAGAAGCAGGATGAGTTCAAGCGTCTGGCTGAAAACTCGGCCTCCAGCGATGATCTCTTGGTGGCAGAGGTGGGGATCTCAGGTATGGACAAGTCCAGGATGACTGGGGAGGGCAGAGAGGGAGGAAGCCAGGAATTGTTTCCCTACTTGGTCGGGGAGTACCCAGCAGCTTTCCATCTGAGCCACCCCCAAGGGGTGTAAATGTCTTCGTGGCCTGTCAAGGAGTCTGGTGCCCACATCAAGCTTAGCCTGAGTAGATTCTGGGACCATAGAACCTCAGCTCAGCTTTTCAGGTACCTGAAGGGAAGGGAATCCCTCTTCCTTCACTCTCCACCCCTTTCTGACATTAAATTTACTGTGGGAACTTCGAGCTCTCTTTGCAAGGGACTGTGGGCAAAAGGGGTGCCACATCTCCTAGGGAACAGCATAGTCAGTTCTTCTGTCTTCATTTCAACTTTTGTACCAAAACTATTCCGTTTTGGCTTTAGCTCAAATGCGCTAGTGCTGCCACTAACTCAAGAGCAGCTGTCAACCACAGTGATAACTTTAATAAAAATAGTTGCCAATATTTTAGTGATTTATAGTGTATAAATATCTGCACAGGCATTGCATTTTTAATCTTCACTTGAACCTTGCCTGAGAAGCAAAACGTATTATCTCCATTTTATACTTGAGGAAAGACTGAAGCTAAAGGAACTTAAATGATTTGTTTCAGGTCATGGAGTATGGAGTGTCTCATCCACAACTCCACCTAGGTGCTTAGTCCCAGGTGCTGTGGGCTCTTACCTGTCTCAGCTTCCTCCCAACTGGGATGCCTCCGTTCCTTAGTAGGCTGGGAACTTAGTAGAGAGTAAGTTCTAGTCCTGGATGGAGATAGCTGGACACTTCTCCAGCGCAGTTTGGTCAGTTGACCCAACCTTGGGTCAACTCCCTTGGGGCTTTTAGAATAATGATAATAATAATAATAATCATAGCTAACATTTATCAAATGTTTACTGTGTGCCAGGCCACTGTGCTAAGTGTTTTACCTGTACCATGTGACAACTCTATGAAGAAGTATTATGGTATTATCCCCATTTTTCAAGTGAAGAAACTGATGCTTTGAGTAACTTACTCAAAATTACAGAGCTTTTAAGTGGCAGAAAAAGGATTGGAATACCCAGGCTTCTGACACTGCTAACCAGTAATAATAGTTGGTCTGGACATTTCTTGGCAAGGTGTAAGAAACCAGTTGTCACAGCATCACCCCTTGGGACTGTTACTGTCAATATGTCCTTTAGGAAGGACAGTGCAAATACTAACAGCAGCTACCACATATTAAGCACTTAACTTTGCGTAGTCTCATGTATAGCCCTTGGGACTGTTACTGTCAATATGTCCTTTAGGAAGGACGGTGCAAATACTAACAGCAGCTACCACATATTAAGCACTTAACTTTGCGTAGTCTCATGTATATATTTCCTCATTGGGTCTTCCCAACAGCCCTTGTATTGCAGGGACTACAGTAGTTACCTGCCACATGCTCCCCTCTCTCAGCTCCAGCCATAATGGCCTTTGTAAGCCTTAAATACACCAAGCTCAGTCCTGCCTCAGATCGTTAGTGCTTGCAGTTCTTTCACCTGAGACACTCTTTCCAGATCCTTAAGTGGCTGACTTCTTGACATTCCCCTCAGCTGATGTCATCTCCACAGGGAGGCCTTCCATGACAGTCTGAAGTGAGCTTTCTTACCCAATCAATCACATCACCCTGTTTTATTTTCATCTTGGCACTAATCACTTATGTTTATTTATTATCTCTTTTCTCACCCTTAGAAGAATATGAGCTCCTTGACATCAGAGAGCTTGATACTCTTAATCACAACTAGATCTCAGGACCTAGACCAGTATCTGGCATATAGTGGGCATATAATAAATATTCAAAAGAATCCCATTTTTCTCTGGAATGAAGTTCAGGGAAGTTAAATGACTTGACTAATGCCACATGGCTAGGAAGTGGCAGAAGAGGAATTCAAACCAAGGTCTGTATGGCTAGTCCTCACTTTGAACCATTACACAGCCAAGAAGATTCTTCCTCCCCTTAGCTCAGATAGGCCCCACAGCAATTTCCTACCCTGAGTTCCTTACGGTCTGGGTTCTCATATCTGGTTTCTATTGACAGATTATGGTGACAAACTGAACATGGAGCTGAGTGAGAAATACAAGCTGGACAAAGAAAACTACCCAATCTTTTACCTCTTCCGGGATGGGGACTTTGAGAACCCGATCCCATATAGTGGGACTGTTAAAGTTGGAGCCATCCAGCGCTGGCTAAAGGGACAAGGGGTGTACCTAGGTATGCCTGGTTGCCTGCCTACATATGATGCCCTGGCTGGGGAGTTCATCAGGGCCTCTGGCGTGGAGGCCCGCCAGGCCCTCTTGAAGCGGGGGCAGGACAATCTCTTGAGTGTGAAGAAGATGGAGAAGAAGTGGGCTGAGCAATACCTGAAGATCATGGGGAAGATCTTAGACCAAGGTGAGGATTTCCCAGCATCAGAAATGACCCGGATCACCAAGCTGATCGAGAAGAATAAGATGAGCGAAGGGAAGAAGGAGGAGCTCCAGAAGAGCTTAAACATCCTGACTGCCTTCCAGAAGAAGGGAGCCGAGAAGGAGGAGCTGTAAAAAGACATTCTGAGGTTTTACAGGGTTTGGGGGAGTGGGGAGGGAAGAGTTATCTGCTGGCCATGAGATCCTGTGAGATATAGGGAGAAGGTGGAAAAAGTGGTACTAAATGAGAAATCTGAGCCCTGAGTATGCCTGGAGATTGATGCTGATATGACCATGCTTAAAACATCTTTATAGCTGGTCCAAGCTGAAGCACTTACTCAGATGGCCAGTGAAATGCCCCCTTAGAAGGAACAGGTGCTATAAAGAGGAGTGTACTGCCCAGGTCCTTGAAAGGTGTAATTCTGATCAATTAAAGTTTTGGTGTTTTGGTTAAGTGGATCTGAAGCCATTTGGTTTTCTTTTCAAATTATACTTTGGCCTATGACTTATTTTCCTCCTCTTTGAATTTACTTCTGAATCTAAGCAGGTATAGACTTGACTCTACCAGGGTAACAAATCCCAGCTCAAGGCATACCTTTGTTTTTCACTGATGTTCAGACTCATGTGGTTTGATTATGAGTAGTAAAATGTGGGTGGTACCCATTTTCTTGTCCTTCAGACTAAATAGCAATGTTGATGAACCACAGTGTAATTATTTTCCATGCTCTATAACATAGGTATAGCAAATTCTTAGTTATACTGATATAATCTGTTTTTAGAGTTGGATTTAGACACCTAAATGTTATAATTCAGTCCAATTTGAAAGTTTAAAAAAAAGATAATTTCCATTTAAGTCACTTTGTCACTGTTGGTTACCTGATAGACACCAACTTTTAAAAGAGTGGAGAGCATCGTACTGACTTCCAAATCTTCTGTCAGGAGTGGTGAGCAGTTATTTGCAGTGGTAAGCTTCATAACAGCCCCACTTTCATATTTAACTGTTTGAAAATATCAAACCACAGCTCCTGAAATATGTTTAACTGCACACATACAAGGAAGTTTGAGTGGAATTGGGAAATAAAACCTTGAATCGTTCTTTTGTGTTTTTCTGCCTCCATTTCAGCCAGATTGGTATTTAAAGAGTGGCTGGAAATTAAATGAGGAAAATTTACATGTTGAAGTGGATGGAACAAAAAATTGTGGAAGCTTAGGCTAACAATTCAAACCAACTAGATAAAAGATGTTTAGATCTAAACATCGTATGTATTGTACATATGATGAGAGAATATAATTACATTGTATGTATTAAGTAATAATTTCAACATGTCCCTTTCTCATTATTTCAATTCTTATTGAAACTTTTGGAAGATATTTTTGGATGCTTCTTACTGGTAAACTTGCATAAGCTGTTCTAAATTTTTCCATATATCTAAATAGGATTGCTTCTAAGGAACAAAGTATGCACTGTTTTATAGAAATTAGAGTAAGAAGACAAATGACAGGGAAGGGACTCTAAAACTAAATACATCCACAGTCCCTGAATGTGTGTTTTTTTTTTTTTTTTTTTGGGGGGGGGTGGCTGGCCGGTTATCTGAACTCCTGACCTCGGTGTTTTAAGGTAGTGTGCTAACCAACTGAGCTAACAAGCCAGCCCCTGAATGTGGTTCTAACCTTGATTCTCAATTGTAAAAGGGATGAAAGAAAAGAAACCCATCATTAGATGGGTTCAGGCTGGGCATCATTATTTATAACCAGGGTACTCAGTTAAAGAAACATGAGCTTTGGGGCAGGACTAGATTATTACGTCAGCAGCCCTTTGTTATCAAGTATTTTTCATTAAAGATGGGCCCTCTGTTTCTAGTTTAGAATATGAAGTGATATGCATACGCCACATAAAATTCAGTCTTCCCTGACACTTAAGTCAAATGGATTCCCTCCCTCTTCTTCTTAGAAACTAATAAATTAATATTGTGGCTCAGGGCTGGCTGGTTAGCTCAGTTGGTTAGAGCTCAGTCTTCTAACACCACGGTCATGGGTTAGGGTCCCCGTACCAGCCAGCTGCCAAAAAAAAAAAAAAAAATGTTGTGGCTCGAGCAGCTATTCAGACTGTAAAGAAGGTTATGGACTGGTGTCCCAGAATCAAACAAGTATATACAGTTTTAAGGGAATTTCCTAATAACCTGAAGCAAAGCAGATGCTGGAACCAACATGAACAATTTTGTTCTAAAGAACATATTTCAAGTGGTGCCAAGAGTAATTTTAATTTACAAATAGTTCTTGTTGGTACCACAAAAAATGTTGGCATGAGAATCACATCAGGAAAGATTATTCACAGAGAACTAAGAATCTTAAGCAGGAAATTTGCATCCTTACCTTTACAGTAGCCTTATCTGCAAAAACTACTTTTATCATATGTCAAGTAATATGTTATCTGGGACCCACGTCCTAATGGGCTTCATGGAAGCTAGAGGTTGCAAAAAAGGTGTAAAGCATAAATGGCTGTAGGAACACCACAGAAATTTTGTGCAAGCACTTGGCTCGTGGTAGCTCCACTCATCACTATGAAATACATGTCTGCATTGAGACAATTACAGCATCTAAAAAAATGGGAAACATGAAGTATAAACCTGAGCCCATCTTTGGGGGAAAGTTAATGGCAGTGAGGTATATCCAAGTACACACAGCTTTTGTTAAAGGAAAAGAACGTTGGATGGAGTCAATTCGTAACTGAAAAAGCAGGCAAAAACTGACTCTGCAGGGCTCATAAGGGGACTTAATATTACAGAACAGAAAGGAAATGAGGAGAAAACAAATAGCTCCTATTTCCACTGTTGTCAATGTGCCCAAATAAATTTTGAATCTCAGCTTGTGGTTTGAGTACCCTTGTATAAATCATGTCATGAGCCTGCCTGAAACCCCGACTGATCTGATCCCCACTCTACTTTCCATCTCAATCCCTACCCCTTTCCAATCCTTTCATTAAGTCCAGGTCACTTGAGCCTTATTTCAGTTACTCAAACATGCTCAGCAGTTTCTTCACTTGGGGACCTTTACACTTGGGTTTCTTCTTCCTTGACTTTTCATCATTCTGGTCAGGCTGTCATCACCCAAGAGGTCTTCTCATGCCCCAGTCTGATGTAACCCTGTAGACATTCTATCACTGACTGAACAGGACTTAATTACAAACTAATATTTATTTTTATTGCCTCTTCCCCACCTCACAGCCACTAACTAGGGTATAGGGTCTCATTTACCATTGTATCAGCAGAGCCTAAAATGGAATCTGGCACATGGTAAATAAGTGGTCAATACATTTATGTTGAATTAATAAATGCCAAGTATGGAAGGTACTTCTTTTAAACCAAAAAGACTGGTGGCCTTGGAATAAAAATTTTAAATATCAAAATTTTTCTGGGGATATAGCACTCAATGCAAAATTGGGATAAATTACACCATTTAGAAGGTTATGGCTTGTAAGAATCTGAACAAAAATGAACCAGGCAGAAATGCCAACTTAAAATAAAGTGTTTATATAAATTAACCCATCCAGTCTAAATAGATTTACTATGCTTCACTTAATTCTGAAGGAAGATATACTTCCCATATTAATAAATCACATCAAATAAGAGTTTCAATAACAAGCCTGTAAATACATTGAAACCCCTTTTTATATTAAAAGTTAAAATGAAAGACAAATCCAGATTGAACATAGTGATTGCAAAATATAATGCAATTTTGAACAATTAAAATTAAGAAAATATACAAAATTGATGGGCAACACAACTAGGCATTTGTACATTTTCCATTATGTGGAGAACACTAAAAATTTCTCTACCTTTTATCCACATCAGATAAATGATTTAAACCAAATGTTTGCTTTGGAGAGTCTTAACTTAGGATCTCAGTAGTATAAAAAGAAATAATTTTTCAGTCTGTAAACAGTAGTCGCGTTTTTTCTCCTTTCCTTTTTTTTTTTAAAAATTATCAATTTATCACACAAAAACAACAAAAAAACCCATACAAACCAAAAACAGCAGCAGCAGCAATGGGTTATTTGGAAATTCTCTTCAAATACCAATGACATACGATTGCTGGGAGAGGGTGCTTTTTACTCATGTAAGAATATATATATATATATATATTTTTTTAACTGTACACAATTTATAGTGCATGACAGTTTCCAAAAGAACAGATCAATAAAAGATATTGGCCATTTCTGCATAATTTCATTCTTTTTACAATTATCTCAAAATGTGAGAGTTGGATCTAACTGAAATGCTACATTTAGTAGGAAAATCAGCAAGTAATAAAGGAAGCATAACCTCAATGTACATTATTTGTCATTAAAACCAGTAGAGGTCCCAGATAGCCCCAGGCAGGAGACTGGTTAGGTAGACCATAACTTGTTACTATAAACCAACACAATTCTCAGAATTTTCCAGGTCAGCTATAACAAAGAGTTATGAGACTGTCTTCCCAACTGAACTAAATCTCACCCATGTCTAATTGCAGTGTGCATAGCTAAATCCTTTTTCCCTTCTGTACAGCCAGCCTGCCTCTTAGAGCATCTAAGATGCCCTAGGGAACTTCTCAAAGCAGGACAGGCGTGTGGTCAGATTGAAAGGAATGTGGAGCCAGGAGATGGCACATAAGGGTTTAAGGACCACCTGCTACTTCTGTAATCTCAAGCAAGTCCCTGAGCTTCAGTTTCTTTATCCACAAAACAAAACTAATGCCAGCCACCTTCCTGGAAGTACAGCTGAAAACGTTTAGCAATTTGTAAAATGCTATGTGGATGTTAGTCCTCACTTCACAGAAACAACCAGCCGAGAGATGATTTTTAACCATGCCCTCCACATAAATCTTTGTCTTTTACACAGTTTATTTCTTCCCTATAATTCCAATCATTTCTACATGTCACATGCCATCTTTTTCATGTTCCAAACATCACTGGGGTTTAGTAGGAAAGCGGCATCATCATGTCCCCCTTACAACTTAGAAAAGTGGTACCCGAGGCACCCATCCAAGGCACATCGACAGTGACAGAGAAGACCTGAAAACTCACAGGGACATCTGGGTGGAACTAACAAGTTAGGTTTATTAAGTCTGTGGCTTTTCTTAATCTGGCTCCTCCTTGTCTCACCTCTACTCTCTCTTGCTGTAAATTAACAGAGCTTTCCTTGCCTCCCTATCTGAGATTTAACTCTCATAGGACTATGATGGGGATGTCTTTGCTATCAGGGCTATTAAGCCAAAAAATGAATGACTGTGGTCATCTGAATGGTGCCCTTCAGTGGCAGGAACTTATGCCAAATCCCATCTGAGGCCCCTTGTGTACCTGCCTTGGGTTCTGTGGGAGCCAAACAGCTGAGGAATCCTCAAAATACTAACCTGCTGCTGTGGAAAGGGCCTGCTTCCAGTCACAGTCCCCCTCTACTTCCTTCTTTCTGCTTCCTAAGGCTCAAGAATGAGACCACAACTTCCACTGCTATAACAGAAGGGCCAATCAGCTGCTCTGAGGTCAATGCTTTATGCTCAATTTCTATTGCTGCTTTTATAGAAACCCCCCTCTCCAGGTGTTTCTGGTGATGGGAAGTAAGAAAAGTGGGGTTATCTTGTTGCTGCCATATGCATATTAACATGTATAAAAAGTGGTCAAACCCAGATGAGGGTCCTGCTTCTGGTTTATATACAATAATTTAATCCATTGTATATATTTAATACCTAAAAAAATTAATTCACAATCAAAGTCCTTCATGCATTTTATGAGGAAGTTCTGGATTAAAGTGATGGTCAACCAGATGTTGCTTTTGCCTGGGAAGATGGTGTCATTTTCTGTTGGAGAATCATCAGTGTCTGTGGTTCTTACTTGCTTAAATTTTTAGTTTCTTTGTGGTCTCAAGTCTTTTTTTCAGCAGCTCCCCCACTTCCAGAAGTGAGTGCAGATAACTGCTCTGCACCTTTCCTTGCACAGTCTTTGAAAATTTTCTCTCTTCCTACAAAGGAGGAGACAAGAATAAATGGTCTTGCTCAAAAATCATTCACCCGGACTACAATTCCTCAAGTAAAAGTTAAAACTACGATTATCTTTGGTCTTACTGCAAGCTCCATCAGAACAGAGTGGGTCACTTTCAATTTCATAAAATACACAAAGAAGGCTAAAAGCTCATCACAGATGTATATTTTTCCATGTGATTTTTCACTGAGACCTTGTTGCTTTACCATCATTATTCTTTCAAGGACCCTTTGTTATAAATTATATGAAATAGGAAAACTGAGATTTCTTTTCTTTTTTTGGCAGCTGGCCGGTTTGGGGATCGGAACCCATTACCTTGGTATTACAATGCTGTGCTCTAACCACCTGAGCTAACTGGCCAGCCCAGAAAACTGAGATTTCTGATTATTAGCATTTAATCAAGAAAAAAAGTAGAAAATTACTACTTAGTTTGGACATAAAATCATTACTATTTTGTTATAAAAGTTGTACAAAGTGGAAAATTTGAGGTTCCTCAAATTTTTTTATTTGTTTTTATCAGAAAAGAAAAAGTAGGAATTTATTACTAATTTGGACATCATCATAGCCAATTTTTAAAGGCATCAACTTTACCAACTCCATCTTTTCCAGTTACAATACTGACAAGTCTCCCTCTATATTTACAAAGTCAATAGGTTCAAGACACCAAACAATAAAAGATGACCAGAACTTTCCTAAGCCTCAAATATATGAGTTAAATATTTGCTGGTACATATTTGCTATAGTGTAGACCACAAAAAATAAAGGGGATGGAGTGTTCAAACACAGAAAAGAAGTTGGCTAAAAATTGGTTTATATGAAGTTGGCAATGTTCCAAAGCCCAGAACTGCATAAGAAACCAAGTGATCACAACTTCTGACCTAACAATACTACTACTACAGACTTAATCCACCTTAGAAATACAAATGTGCATAGGTAGGTATGTACAAATAAATTTCATTCAGTACTACTGTAAAAGCAAATATAAAGAAACAACCAAAAATGTCGAATGACTGGTGCATTCATATTTTGAATGTTTAATGAACTGTTTAATAAACAGCTGTTTAGTGAACAAGATTGATCCCTATGTGTTAGCCTGAACAGATCTCTTGAATGTAAGGTTGAGGGAAGAAAAAGCCAAGCTGCAGAATAGAGTGTATCACTTACTTTTTAAAAAGTACAAACCAACACAATAATACTTTGTATTTTCTCTATGAGTAGAAATACACAAGTCTCAACACACAAGCAGTTTTAGTTGCATACCCCATGGGAGGTGGAAAAGGGGACTAGGATTAGAGGTCAGAGTCGAGAGGCCTTATTTACAGTTTCAAATTTAGAAAGAAAGGAAGGAAAAAAAGAGACAAAACTAATGGAATCTGAATTGAAGAGCTCTTTTTTACCCAAAATACAAGTACCCTGCACTATAAGAATCCTGTATTTGGTGGCTGGTACTACTCAGTATACTCTATATATCATGACCTTAACAAAAAGTAGGCAATATAAGGCCAATTACTGCTTTGTTTAATCCTCACTATTATCCTATGAAGTAGGTATTAGTAACATCTCCATTTACAGATAAATTGATGCTCAGGGGGTTAAGTAACCTTCCCAAGGTCAAAAGATAATGACAGAGCCACGGCTTGAAAAACCTAGAGTATATTACAAAGTTAAGGATAACCTCTATAATACTGAAAATGAACTCTTGCTTCTTTAATCAGTCTTTGTTAATGTTAAATGATCTGAGCCCTTTCCCACAGTAAGCACCTTGATCAAAGCTCTAAAATGTTTAAACTTAACAAAAGAGAGGCCTACAATCTTTTAAGGCTGGTGTGCCAAACAAGATTCCATTCATTCCCTAGGAAGGTCTAGAGCTAGGATGACAGCTGCACTCAGATTACTGGATGAGTTCCCTTATCAGCGGAGGTTTAGATCAAACAGAGTACCAGAGGGAAACATTCTCTTAAGATAAAAGTGATCTTAAGATCACTGGAGCAATTGGCTATAAACACATGATCCCACCACTGCCCTTCTGGCCTCTACCAAAATCCTAAACCTACTCCAGGCTGGTGAATTCTTTCTGGTGAACTACTCACCAGAGCCTATGTATTACTGACATAATTATTTCTGACGTCCAGCATCACTCCTTTTTCAGGTGATAACTGCTGCTGCGGCAAGGAAGCCAGACAAGTCAACTCGTCAGCAGATAAATTCTTACTCAAGGAGATTGTCCTTGGATCTCAAAAGAATGGCTAGTTCCCTCTGGTGCTTAAAACAGGGAATCAATTCATCATAGTGCCATTAGTTTGCAGAGTAAAAAAAAACAACCCCAAAAATGTATAGAAAGAAGAGGGAGTGTACGGGGAGAAAATGATCACTACCACTGCCACACAACAAAAAACTACTGCCAGGTACCTTCTAATCACAAGTTTTATAAATAGAGAATGATGAATTGAAAAGTAACTTGTCCTTGTGATTAAGATAAGAACACTTAATTATATATGTAACATTGCTGATATCTTGCGGTCTCTTACCGGTGAGAGAGAAGTGTCTTCTAAAATAAGTCCTTCAAGTGTAAGTGCAATTAGATGTGTTTCAAGCCCTTTAATATGATCCACAACATTGGAAATTAAAGTCTGAAGCCCAGTAACATAGTCTTGGAAACTGGTAAAGACAGGTGGCTGGGGAAAAGATTAAAAAAGAGTTGAAAGATTATTAAACATATTTTCCATGCTTACATCACATAGACTATACTAATTTCATACTATAGCAGTGCTTAATGCTATTAACAACAGAGATGGATACAGTTTTGGATATTAAGACAGTCTTGAACCAAGATAAATTTAATTATCACCAGATAACTGCTAACTCAACAATGACAAACATTTTTTTAAATGAGGTTTTATTTCACTCTGGGGAACTAGAGATGAGAAACCAATAGAAAATATTTTAGTTGGTCATTACTCAACTTACGGCTGGGAATCTCCTGGAACACTAAAGAGAACAAGAGGAACCAAGACTTTATTTTCCTCTCTTTATGTCTTTGGGATTTCCTATAATGTTAATAGAGACAGAAACAAAATATTTTAATTTCTGGTGGAAAAACTAATGGGTGACAAGAACCAAGAAAATTCTGAAAAAGAGTAGTGAAGGGGAACTTGCCCTAAGAGATATAAGAATGTATTTTGAAGTTCCATGAAAACCAGGTGGTACTGTTATATAAGTAAATTAACAAAGAGTGAAAAGAAACAAGTCCAAAGATAGACCGAAAGATATAAGGGAATTTAAATGGTGGCAATTCGGGGCCGGCCCGGTGGTGCACTGCTACAATGCGCCACTTGGGAAGCGTGGCGGCTTGGGAAGTGTGGCGGCGCTCCTGCCGAGGGTTCTGATCCCACATACAGACCGGCCGCTCACTGGCTGAGCGAGGTGCGGGCGCAACACCGAGGGTTGCGATCCCGTTGCCAGTCCCGGTCCGGTCCGGGCGCGACATTGAGGGTTGCGATCCGTTGCCGGCCACGAAAAAAAAAATAAAATAAAAAATAAATAAAATATAAATGAATGAATGAATGAATGAATGAATGAATGAATGGTGGCATTTCAAAACAAAGGTTTAAAGTGGCTGAATGGTACTGGGATAACTACCCAGACATTTGTAAATACAAATTAACAATAAATAAATATCAAAGTAAATTTCAGATAGATTAACTACTTAAATGTAAAAAAATCCATCAGAGTATCAGAAGAAAATTTAGGAAACAACTTAAGCAATCATAAGTTAAAAAGGTCTTTCTAACCATGACATTAAGCTAGAAAACATTAAAAAGATTATCTTGTGTTTTAAAAAATTACTAGACAAAAAAAATCACGCAAGTTGAAAGATGACTAACAAACTGAAAATAAAAATCCTGCATCATGTATGATAGAGGATTAGCAACATTATGTTAAGAACCCAATAGCTTAAAATATATCAACAGAAAAAATATTACTACCACAATAGGAAACTTGGGCAAAGGCAGGAACAGAAAACATATCAAAGAAATCCAAGAAACAAATGATTCAACTAAAAAAACATAAGTATAAAAAACCTAGCCAATAAACTGGTAAGGTTAGCATTTTACTCAAGAAGTATTCTTTGAAGGTTCAACATCAATAAAATTTTTTTTTTCCTTTTTTGTCTTTTTTCATGTCCGGCAATGGATCGCAACCCTCAGTGTCGCGCCCGGACCGGACCGGCAACGGGATCACAACCCTCGGTGCTGCGCCCATACCTTGCTCAGCCAGTGAGTGGGAACCGGTCTGTATGTGGGATCCGAACCCTCGGCGGGAGCGCCGCCGCACTCCCAAGCGGCGCACTGTAGCAGTGCGCCACCGGGCCGGCCCTCGGGCCGGCCCTCAACATCAATAAAATTTGAAAAACTGCAAATTAGAAAAAGGGCATATCAATATTTGCCAATCAGATGGTTAAGGATACAAACACTCAACACTCTTTGGGGGAATGTAAAAATGTACAGATACATAATTTCAGATCTTAGAGCTATCCTAAGGAAATCATATTATAAATTCGTCTTTATGAATTTGTCCATATTTTAATAGCAGTACTATTTATAATATTCAAAAAATTAGAACCAACCAAATATTCATCAATAGAAATTATGGCATATTAATACAGTAAGATGGTATATAACCACTAAAAGTAAGAGATATATCTACATTTACTGATGTAAAAAGATGTCCAAGATACTCTATAATGTGAAAACAAACAAAAAATAGGCAAGTTGCAGAACCTCTGATATAGCATGATCTTAGTTTGTTTACAACTAAAACGTCAGCATCATCATCACTGGTTGATGGGAATATGTGTGATCTTCACTTTTCTCATACTTTATGCGTTACTTTGATAATCAGAAAAAGGAAAACCATTCTCAATTTTAGAAATCAGAAAAACAACAAAAACATCACAAAATCTAAATCCAACAAGCTATTTGAACAGTTTTCAGACTGTAGGTTTCATTAGAAGAGACAGCAACAAAGCAACTCTGATCTACACTTTCAAACTTTGCACTCATGATCCGTTAAATTATCATTTTTGTTGTTTTTTGTTAAATTACAGTGAAGGAAGAAAGGCACCCTCATTTAGTCCCTCATTCAAATCTAAGTACCCCTTGTTTTTGAATACCAAGCACAATGTCTAATCTAAAGAATTCCTGAATTGTTACTGAATTGTTCAGGAAGTCAATTTTACTACTAAAACCATCAACATTTTCAAATGACAGTCTTATTGCTACAGTAAACAAAAATCTCCATTAATTGTTAGAACACCAAGGTCAAAGGGTTCGGATCCCTGTACTGGTCAGCCACCAAAACAAAAAAACCTCTGTTAATAATGATGGTATAAACTCAAACATTAATAAAACAGCATGTCATGGGCTGTGAAAAGGATAAAAATTATGTTAATGTTTTCCACTTTCAAAAATATGGGGGGGGGCCTAAAGTTGAATACAAACCAAAACGGGAGATCTTTACAACACATTAATAATATAATGTTTTTAATTCCAGTAATTTTAGAGTACTTCAGCTGTCTACATTCACTGGAACACAGTCTAAGAACAAAAAAAGAACTGCAGCAAATTTGAATTTTATTTAGTGGATTTTTTATTGGAACTACTAATGGAACTGATAATACTAATTCCTAAAACTATTTAGTATTGTATAACAGCAAATGAATAAATACACTTATATTGTTGGGAGCCAGGGTTCTCACTCTGGGAAAAGGAAGCTACAAATAGGGAATAGGGAATAAAGGAAAGAGCAGAAAGAACACTGATGTGAGATTGAAACTCGAGGTATCAGTAAGAATTCGTTATGTAAAAACTGAGCATCAGGCTGGCCAGTTAGCTCAGTTGGTTAGAATGCGGTGTTATAACACCAAGGTCAAGGGTTCAGATCCCCATATAGGACAGCAGCCAAAAAAAAGAAAAAACGAAACCTGTGTGTGTGTAAATACATTGCCTAGGTCTCTCCACTGTAATAAACTAGAAGCAATGAAACTCCAATAGCAATGAGCATATAACACCTACACCTTGGTTTAAAAATACCATTCCCCATAAAGGAACCAGGGCTCTTGATTAAATGATTTCAGCTGTGTAAATACATTGCCTAGGTCTCTCCACTGTAATAAACTAGAAGCAATGAAACTCCAATAGCAATGAGCATATAACACCTACATCTTGGTTTAAAAATACCATTCCCCATAAAGGAACCAGGGCTCTTGATTAAATGATTTCAGCTGAGTAAGAAAACACAAAGTACTCAGTATTTTTACTGTTCCAGAAAGTAAGGGCTCAAAAACTGACGAGGACATGTTAAAGGACAGAGGCCACATTAAAGGGGCTAGTTAAATGTGGGACAATTTGTACATCCAAAAAGAAATGATGATAATGGATCATAATAGAGTGAATTTAAAGAAGAGTCTATAGTGATACTCAAATACATGAAAAATACATATATACTTTTACACTTTCAAATATATATATGAATGGGGGTGGGACAGCTCTATTTTACAGACTAATGCAGAGGGTAAAAGGCACCTTTACAATGAAGAAATCCAGTGGACACTTCCTTGATCAAATACAGTCATGTGTTGCTTAATAATGGGGATGCATTCTGAGAAATGTCATTAGGTGATTTCATTGTTGTGGGAACATCAGAGTGTACTTACACAAACCTAAATGGTATAGCCTACTATATACCTATAATCTTATTAGACCACCATCGTATATGTGGGCTGTCATTGACCAAAACAACATTATGTGGCACATGACTATAATGAAATCTGAAATCACCAATAAGAGAACACAACAACATTAGTGCCTCTTGATTTAATTTACTAAAAAGGACACAGTGTCTATGTTTAGCCCAAACCTAGGGAAACAATTAGCTGAATCCACATTGTGGGACATTCTACCCAAAAAATAATAAAGACAAAACAAAAGGTTAAGGAAGCATTCTAGATTAAAGGAGGGTAGGGCTGGCCCATTAGCTCAGTTGGTCAGAGGGCTGTGTTATAACATCAAGGTCAACAGTTCTGATCCCTATACCAGCCAGCACCACACCCCCGCAAAAGATTAAAGATGGTAAAGCAATTAAAAGCCCTGTTAGATCCTTGATGGGATTCCAGTATTCTGAAAAAAGGCTATAAAGGAAATAATGAGGATAACTAGAAAAATCTGAATATGGGCTTTATTAGATAAAATTATTGTATCAAAACAAAATTTCTTGACTGAAATTTTCTTGAGTATTGTAGTTTTGCAGGAAACTGCCCTTTTTCTATATTGGTATGTTAATTGTCACAAGTCTATTCTTTCAAATGGTTCAACAAATGAGAGAGCGAGAGAGAAGAAACGTAAAGCAAATGTGGGAAATTGTTAACAAGTGGTAATCTCTATAAGAATCTTTTTTGTTTTTTAAAAAGATGACCGGTAAGGGGATCTTAACCCTTGACTTGGTGTGGTCAGCACCACGCTTACCCAGTGAGCAAACTGGCCATCCCTATATGGGATCTGAACCCGTGGCCTTGGTGTTATCAGCACCACACTCTCCCAAGTGAGCCACAGGCCGTTCCTCTATAAGAATCCTTATGGGTGTTATTATATTAGTCTTTCAACTTTTCTGTAGGTGTATAATTTTTCAACGAAAAAAAATGGGCAGTGAGAAAAAGAATGCTTATAGGATCCCAAGGACTCTTACAACATGTATGAAAACAGTGAGAAAAAGTGGCATGTGGCCAGATTGTTACTTGAATTTCTCTGTTATTACCATGATGATGCTGGTTTCTTTTTTCTTCTTTTTCTTTTTCTGTAAATTTAATTTGTATGGTCGTAGTACACTCTCACAGTAACTGGACACCCAAAGGATAATAGAAATAGTCTGAAAGAGGAAAAATTGCAAATGCATCAATACAGATTACACTAAACATATTTATCAGGAAGTTAAGGGAAATGGACAAAACAAAGAAATTCTGTTAGTTCTTTTACACAAACTCCTTCAGTTTCTCCCCTGAATCTCTACTCTCTAATGTCTGCAATCACCACATTGCTCTAGGCCTTCATTATCATCTGCTCAGAATACTGTGATAGCCTATTTATCCTTTTTCTGGCTATCTCAGCTCTAAATCTATCCTCCACTCCACTCCAGTTTTCTTTCATTTCCCTGTAGAAGTAGGGAGCCTATTCATATCTTTTTGCTCAGTGAAAAGTACAAATTCCTAGGCATGGAATCCAAAGTTTCTTTACAATATGCCTTTCCCCACACACCTCTTCAACCAGGTAAGATACCATCTCACCTGCAAACCTTAACTTATATATACGAGTATATGGGGAAATGTCCCCAGTTGAACAGCACATAGCCCTTCATAGTATTAAATTAGCTGTTTACAAGTCTTCTAATATAATACAATGTGTGCATGTACATATATGTCCAGTTATTACTCATTCATTAAGTATCTCTTAGGCACTTACAATGTGCTAGTCACCAGAACATAGTATATACTACCTTCAGGAGGCTTACAGACTAGTACAAGGAGAAAAGTAAACAAATATGTGACAGAAATAAAAGAAAAGATAATAGATTATGAGTGTTTACAATCCTCCTCCTCTTCTCTCTGGCTAAAAAAAGAGGAGGGAGTTTTGCTATATCAGCTCCTGGACTTCTTTATAAGGTAGGATATCTCAGTAATTAGTAACAACAACAAATAAAACAAACTGGAGGGATTAACTTAAGCTGCATAATAAAGAGTGAGTCAGCAGCGCGACGCCCCCCGGGGCCTGTGGACCGGCCACCAATCCCACTCCACCCGCGGATCTCTGGCGGGGCTGGTGGCATGGGGAGCCCCCGGCCAGCGTCGGGAGGGCAGGGAAGAGGATCCCGGCCAGACTGTCACTCGACCACACCTGGGGCTTCGG